AGAAAGTTCACACTTATGCTTGAGGTTTTCTAGAAGAATTATAATAACCGCCCCCCCAAAGCTCCTGATTTATGTTTAGAACAAAATAAATGCAAGACCAGATGATTTATTATGACACATATTTTACCAGTGTCAATAGTAACTCTAGAGCTAATTTTTCTGTTAGTTTCCTGTTTTGTAACAACACCAGCCTGGCTATTAAACATCCAAATGCATGTTTAAAACTTTGCAGGCAATGACAAGTTAGCTATCACTAACAATACTGAGATTTATTTATGTTCAAGAGCAACATCCACTTCTCTGCCTTAGAAGGTAGAGTTATATTTGGCCCCATGAAAGCTTACTTAGATTGAAAGCCAAAATCTGGACATGTGGCTAGTGGTAAAAAGACTTCTGTTTCTCATCTGCAGATACTCCCTGAAACAATTATGTAAATAAACAATGCACCAACAATAAAACTTCCCTATTATGTGGCTATATCCATCCATAGTGGCCCATGTCTTTCTTACACACCTTTCTGATGACAGCTGTAGGAGGAGGCTCCAGATGAGGCTTTAGCAATAGCACTGTTTCTTCAGCTGCAAACTGCTGTTCATTACTCAAATAATGCCCTCAATTCCATGAAAGAGAAGAAGATAAAACAGTTGGAAGAATTAGGCCCTGGATATTGCTTAGGATTTGTAATGAAAATCAATAGGACTGAGAACATTTTAAAGCTGTTGCTACTGACAAGAGTAAGGCAAACTTACTCCACACTTTTTCAATTGTTGTGAGAGATGTCCCATTGCATATCAACAAGGAAACCAAATATCTGTATTGCTTTGGAGCTAACTCGTAGTAGGAGTGCTCCAGTTACTGTACTTAAGATGGCTCTTTACACCTTTAAGCCACTTTAGGAAGACTACATATCTTTGCCCCTATCTTGACAGGAAATCCCTCACAATGCTGGTCCATGTGCTTGTAATCTCAGAATAAACTACTGAAATGCTCTCTGTGTGGGGCTGCCCTTGGAGGCAGTTCAGAAGCTGCAACCAATGCAGAAAGCTGCTGACAGGTTGGTCGCCAGAACATCCCAACGTGACCATATAACTCCTGTCCTGCCTGCATGCATGCTTCCAAGCCAAAATCAAGGTCTTAATGTTGGTATTTAAACCCCTTCATGATTTAAGACCTTGTTACCTGTCTCAGTGCCTCTCCCTCAAAACATCGGCGCACCCCAGCTGCAACTCTTCCATGGGGGTGCTCTGAGGGGCCACCCCAGGGGAGGCCTGGACATCTACTACTTGTAAGTAGGCCTTCTCTTTGGTGGCTGCTTCATTCTGGAATTCCTCTCTCTCTCTCTCTGTATGTCCCAACTTTCTCCTTAAAAAAAATAACCCTTCCAGCAGTGGTGAAGTTAGCACCATTCCTGGGTTTTAGGAGACAATAAGACCTGATTGATCTTCCAAGCCTTTCTGTAGTTTCCCCCAAACTTATGTTAAGTGGCCCACCATCATGATTTTATAATCTTTATAGTCTTGACTCTTGAACTTATATTTTTGAAAAATGTTTTGTTGTCTATGTCTATGTGACTCTCTTGTAGAGTAGTAGCTTTCCTACAAGTTGGGT